ATTTGTCCCAGAGAAATGAAAAGTTATATCTACATTAAAACCTGTACATCAATGCTCTTAGAAACTTTATTAGTAATAAACAAATATTTGAAATGAGGTTCCTACAATGGTGAATGGTTACACAAACTGTGGTTATACATACCTACTATGGAATACTACTCAGCAACAAAATGGAATATATTAAAAAAAAACTATTGACCAATGTAACAATTTGGATATATATGAAGGGAATTATGCTGTGTGGGATAAAAAGCCAATCTCAAAGAGTCGCATACTGTACAATTTCCTTAGAACATTCTTAGGATGATGGAATTACATAGATGGAAAAGAGGTTAGCAGTTGTCAGGAATTAGGAATCATGGCGGGGTGGGAGACAATAAAGGAATAGCAAAAGAAAGACCCCTGTGGTGATGGAACAGCCTGTATTTATTTATTGAAGTATAATCCAAATATATTATATTAGTTTCAGGTTTATAACATAATGATTCGACATTTGTATACACTGCAAAGTAATTACTACAATAAGTCAATCCATCATCCCTCACCATACAAAGTTAAAAGTATTTTTTCTTGTGATGAAATCATTTAAGATTTACTTTCTTAGTATCTTTCAAGTTTGCAATATAGTATTATACACTATAGTCACCATGCTGTACATTACATCCCCATGACTTATTTATTTTATATTTGGAAGTTTGTCCCTCTTGATACCCTTCACACATTTTAGCCGTTCCCTAACTCCTCTCCCCTCTGGCAACCACCAATCTGTTCTCTGTATCTATGAGTTCTGTTTTCTTGTATTTATTTATTATTAGATTCCACATATAAATGAAATCATACAGTGTTTGCCTTTTTCTGATTTATTTCACTTAGCACAAAGTCCTCAAGGTCCATCCTTGTGAAAATAGCAAACTTATTTTTTATGACTCAGTAGTATACCATTGTGTGTGTGTGTGTGTGTGTGTGTGTGTATATATATATATCATACCTTCTTTATCCATTCATCTATCAGTGGATACCTAGGTCATTTGCATATCTTGGCTATTTTAAATAATGCTGCAATGAACACAGGGTACAAAAAACTTCCCAAATTTGTACTTTCATTTTCTTTGGATAAATACCCAGAAGTGCAATTTCTGGATCACATGGTAATTCTGTCTTTAATTTTCTGAATAATCTCCATACTGTTTTCCATAGTGGCTACACCAATTTATTGGGTCATCGGGAAAGTCATGATGCATTTTTTTATGTTTTCCGATGCAAAAATGCATCAGGACTTTCCCTACGTCCCAATACATTCCAACCAAACTGTGAAAGGGTTTCCTTTTCCCCACATCCTCACCAAAATTTGTTATTTCTTTTCCTTTTGATAATAGCCATTCTGACAGATGTGAGGTGATATCTCACTGTGCTTTTGATTTGGATTTCTCTGATGATTAACAATGTTGAGCATCTTTTCATATGTCTGTTGGCCATCTGTATATGTTATTTGGACAAAATGTCTATTCAGATCCTCTGCTCATTTTTTTAATCAAATTGTTATGTTTTGTTTTTGAGATATATGAGTTCTTTATATATTTTGGATAGTAACCCCTTATCATAGTCCTGTATCTTGATAATGGTGGTGGTTACACAAATCTACACATGTGATAAAACTCCATAAAAGGATACACACACAGATATACACACCAATGAATGTGTGTAAAACTGGTGAAATCAGAATAAAGTCTGTGGATGTAACATTGTAAATTTTCTGATTTTCATATCATATAATTATAAAAGATATTGCTATTGGGGAAACTGGTTGAAGGGTACATGAAATCTCTGTATTCTTTTTGAAACTTATTGTGAATCTACAATTGTTTCTAAATAGAATGTTTTAAAAATGAAGGTAATTCAAAGACAATTTCCAGTAAGATATGTTCTTTGTTTTTTTCATTTCTATTTAGAATCACTGAATAGCATAAAATGCATGAATATGTACATTTTCTTCTTCATTATATATTTTAACTTAATCATAAAGTACATTTGTAATGAGGTTTGTATTTTAGTTGGCCCAATACATTAGTCTCTTTTATTCAAAAAAATATAATATTCAGAAGACATATTTCTCAGTTTAATTCAGGTCAATAATTATGCTTAATCACCTAAATAGTTTAACTAAGTGTTAAAATTTAGTGCAGCATCTAAGATTTTTGCAGGCATATAAAAAGAAAGAGAAGCATCTTACTATATACGGAACTTTTATATTATTATAGTATCACTATGTAGCCCAAAACCTTCTCTAAACTGAAATTAGCCTATTTGCATAAAAATAAACAAAATAACACTTTTATTCTAGATGAGATATACTTTAGATTCTTACAATCAATGGATGTTAAAACTATTAAGCTTTTCATCTGTAGCCTGTGGACAGATTTAAAATGTAATGGTTCATGGACCCAAGTCTTGGGTTAGATGATAAATTTATTATTCTCCTGTTTCTATAGCATTTCTGATTTTATCATCAGTGTTTTTTGCACATATAAAATTTTCAATAAATAAATTCAGTACAAAATGCAAAATATCAAAAGCCTCTATTCTTGCTAGTGGTTTGGGGGACCAGTGGCAATCAATGAAAGAGGGTCTTGCCTTGCTTCCAATTGGGTAAACTAAGGAGGATGGTCCCAACAGCTCTAACTCTAAAGAATCCCAGAGCTGATGATGCAAAGCTATGTAACACAATGTTGGAACATGCAATTGATTTGGTCAATTTGTTTGACAAAGTCGGTGGAAAATTTGCTCAAAGGCTTTACTTGACTGACCAGTCAGTTTGGTCAAGATATAGTACTTGAGTCAAAACTAAAATTACAATTTTGTTAAGTCATTTTGGACACCGTCTAAGTGGACATCACTGCCAGGAAAGCCCAGATCATATAGACTTTGAATCATCTGCATATGAAAATTCAATGCAAAATGCAAATTATCACTTGAGACATGTATCGCACTGTCACCCAATTTTATGAGGTGCCGTAAGAGGCAGGCTACATGAAGCATACTCTAATGGTATGTCTGCATTTTCTGAAAATTTCCACATAATAGCAAAGCTGGCATTTTATAATTTCCAGAGCTATAAATCATTTTTAAAATCATGATTATATTACTCAAAACAGATGTGAAAACATATGTTTGCCACAGTTGTATAGACTGCTTACTTGTCATACTTAATAAATGTTGAGGCTTCTACTTTAACTGTGTTTCCTTTTAATAACAAAAATCTATTTGAGGAAAATATATTTTGTCTTAATATCACAAATATTGGGTTGTCGGAAAAGTCATGACACATTTTTGCAACAAAAAACAAGAAAAAATACGTCATGACTTTTCCGACAACCCCATATAACTGGTAGAAGCTGACATAGACAATCTCATTTAAAAGGAAGCTTTCCATTATAACCGGGGTGGAGTTTAATATGCCACTCCTGTCTATTAATGTCCTCATCAGAATGTGTGACCAACCTATTTGATTGAAATGAGTAAAACTGTGTCATTCCACAGCAAGAGATTCAGCAATGCCAGCACATACCACTGTGTATTTTATGAAAATCAGTTACTGTACATCTATACTAGCGCTCCAGCTGATTTTTCATAAGCACAGCAGTGTGTACTTGAGCACTGCAACACCCAGGCCAGTCCTAAATACCATTTTGTCTTATAGGGTTTGCGGTTCTGATGAAACCATATGTATCAGGTACAGCTTGAGATTTTCCTAGAAATGCTGCTTTACTACCAAGCTGTCCTTCTAATGGTCATGTCTTGGTGGAAAAAAGATCTCAAGAACAGATTGTTGGTGGGTTATGGATGAAGCTTCATCTTTAACTAGAATTTCATTACTTGTGTAAGAGTTTGGGTAGTTTAATATACTGAACCTGAATTCTTCCATTCTGACAACTATTCTGAAATCAATCATTTACATCTTGGAGCCCCTGAGGGTACAGGCTTTCAGTGTTTGGATAAGAAAATACTAAACATGTGGCAAGGAAACCAACCACGGATCAATGAAATTAAAATCCTACATTATTCCAAATTGTAACTAAAAATGTTCATCTAGGCAATTAGGAAACAGGTTCTAGAGAAGAAAGAGAAAATTCCTCCATTAACTCTTCAGTTTATGAAGTCCTGTTTCTATATAGTATGAGCACCTTTTGTATTGGTAGAAAAATGTACCCTATAGTGAAGTACAAACAGACCATCTGATGATCCGATAAATTACATGTTAGCTTATGTTCTTTAGCTTAGAGTTACTAACTCATGGTGACAGTCATAAGGCATAGCTTATAACATGTGATGATATATTTTCCCCTTTTTCTTACCTTTGCAGCCTTTGTACAAAGTTGTACTCAGATTTCATATCAAGATAGCTTGACTTTGAAATTATTACTCTCCCTCCCTTCTTTAAACAGATATCCTAAGAAAAAACTAGATACTGTGCAGAGGTGAGACATGTACCTCAGTGGATGAAAAGCCAGATTGGTGTCATATCTATGAAGACTCCAGGTAAATACTTGATTGGAGTAACTTGTTAAGCTTTCATTTGAAATGTCTAAATTAGCATATATTTTAAAAATCACTTCTGAGGGCTGAAGGGAATATCTCTCCTACAAGACAGTAACTCAGTTTTTCAAACATAACCATGAAATGGTGAGTCATTTGAACATAGCTAACCAAGTGTGTGTATAATAAAAAGAATAAGATGTCTCTGATCAAGCATACTAAAAGGGCTGAGTGTGAAGTTTCCAACCACAGGCACAGACAAAGTTCAGGCTGATATGTCATTTATAACATCAAACAAACAAGCTTCAGGTAAACATTCTTTTTTTTTATCCTAAAATAATTTATCCAAAGCCAGTATTAATCTTTTCTGACTTAGGGAAATGTGAATGCAATATACAGTACTGGGATGTTAACTGAGTTAGTATCTAATCTTTATATGTACATCAAATAAGCAAAAATAGTTTTACCTTTATTATCCCTTTGGAATTTTTTGATGGTTGGTCCATTATCCTGATCAACAATAAGTTCCTCTCTACTGTTGGGCATCATAACTGTAAATAAGAGGTATAACTGGTGATTTTCTTGCAAAACACCAAAAAGAAAAGCAAAAAAGCATTACATTAGCAGCCATTTTATTTAAATAATAGCTACCATGAATTTTACACACTTCTTCTGAAACAATGGAAAGATTTGTGTTGGTCTGATGATCACATAATTTAAAAAACAATTAGCTGCTTAATCATGTGAATTTTTAATGTAAGATTAATATATAGTATATACAATTACCAACATAATTCTTTTAAATCATTTAAAATACTTCTTTTAAATCCTATATGCAAATTAGGTATTTACCTCCATAATTAATAACATATTTCCCAAATTGTTTTTAAAAAGAATTTACCACTTAAGTTCATGAATTTAAAATAATTATGCACTTAACTCACTTTATAGAGTTTTTGCAAATATATATAGCAGTATTAATACATAAAATATAATTTTCTGGTAGTTACTATAAGTGCCTCTTCACAAAAATTTTACATTAAAAGAGAGAAAACATGCCAATTTTCATAGTTTATTGTTTAATTCTTTTTAGTTATATTTTATTAAAACATTATATAGTTCTATAAATAAAACATGGTGACTTTAAACTAAAAGTCATAAAACCTTTTAATTCATTTACAGACAATACCTCACTATCACGCTTGAACAATTGTGGAATACGATTGAGAGCCTAGTTACTGCTAGGGGAATTAGAAATGTTTTATGTTGTCAAGATTTTGTTTTTAGAATATTGTGTTGCTTTGGAAATATTTGATTTTACTTCTAAGTGTAACATACCGTTCTCTTATGATATACCTATCACAGATGATGTTTCTCTATGTGCTCTGCTTTTAACCAGCACTCAATAAATAATCACCTCTCTGCCCTTCCTCTCTCCCTGCTTCCTCATCAATACAAACAGTATCCTGACAGAAGAACATGCGTTTTGGTTTCTTGATTCATCAATGGCCATCCAGCTATATCCGCTGGTCCTGCTCAGACTCCCTTGAATCAGTTGCACACAGTGTTGTAATAACCAGCTAGTTTGTGTCCACAGAACGGAGGAAAGCTTAGAACACCACAGCCATCTCTTGCAGGAATTAAACTTGTTCCCTTAGGACAATTAGCCTCAAGTTCTAGCTCAGTGGTTCCTAACTCTTGCCTGCACATTAGAATCTCCTGAGGAGATACTGAAAAGCAAAGCAAAACACTGCTGCCAGGCTCCATTGCAGGCCAGGTAAATCAGACTTTGAGCGTGTGGCCTGGACTTCCAGATTTGTAAATGTCCCACAAGTGATTATAATGGGGAGCCAGATTCCAGACCCACTTAGCTCACTATGAAGCTAAAGAGCCACCAACAATATGTAATATTGGCAGGCTAAGTGAGACTTGGATGAATTTCCACAAGGGAGAAATCATCTTCATTCTTCAGCACAAATCCAGAATCTAACACCTTCTCTAATCCCTGAAATTCTTCCCCCCACCAACCAACCAAACAAACAAACAAACAAAACAAAAAAGAAAAAAAACACATTATTTTGGAGAGTCTTGAAGCCATCACTATTGTGAAGTACAAAAATTAAGAGTTCACATAAGGAGTGTCTCTATAGTAAGACTAAAACAAGATCAGAAATCATTTTCTCTAAAGAAAATTGATATTTAGGAAATTGGGTTGTGTAGGTACAGAAGATTAATAAAGGTTTTACCTAGCTCACATGGTTTATAACTATTGTGTACTAAATGAGAATTTGCTACAACTGAATGCACTTAGTAATATCTGTAGACCTCAGTAGGATCAGACAGCAGGAGATGATAAAAATCAAGGTAAAGCCACACAGAAAAGTAGTGTTTATCCCCCACGTTTCCTTAGAACTTTAAACTTCTGATGTGTTTTTCCACATATTATTTCATTTGATCTCACAGAAGTCCAGCACATTAAGCAGGACAGTAATTATTTTCATATATTATGTAAAGAAACTCATGGTGTTTAAGTGACATACTCAAGATCTCATAGCTAGTTTGAGCCAGAACTATGGCTAGAGTCAAGTCTCCAATATGCCACATCACTGACAATAGCATTATAGTATTTCTGTAATAGTATCTATAGTGTAAGACTTCTGAGACCAAAAAAAAAAAACAAACCTAAGGAAAAGCAGGTTAAATATTTATAATCTAAATTCAGAGGTTGTAGCAAATCATACATTGATTCACATTTTAATCACTCAGTGATCAACTGCCTAAAGGATATTGTATCTTCATTTATTTCAAGGATGCTGTGAATGTAATAAGTGTATTATAGCACACTAGCTGTTAAATACCAACATATTGAACTAGCATATACTCTACAAAAATCCCATCGTATTACTCCCATGAGATCCAGTGATACAGTAAACGAAAGCCCTTCCACAGAACAAACTTCTAACATTTTGTTGCATTTTATTGTTTATATTGCTTCAGCAATAAAAATAAATGACCATTTCAAAAAGCTACTTATATTAAGGAGGCATCAGCTCCCTCAGCTTCTTTCTCCCCTCTCTATTGCCTAGTGAAGAATTTCCTGAAAGGATATCTTTAAATTCCTTGTTTCGGGTGAGATGCTCACCCATTCTGTCTGAATGGTGATCCATCTGAGAGGGAGAGCTGGACACACTGCTGCTGGGGTGGGAGGAGGTCTGGCTCCCAGGGCGACGAGTCTCTTCCAGAGAGGGAGCAGGAGAAGGACTCTCTGGGATCCGTTCCTGACACAAAAGGAGACACAAAAGGAAATGCCATCTGTGCACCAAGTTTCTCGTGTTGGTTGAATCCATAACATTTGAAATGTTGACCTCTCACTTATCCTGAAAGCATGCATATCCACAATAGCTGGTCTTAAACACATATCTTTAGACAAAAGCATATTTTTTTTTGTTCCTGAAAAATTAATGGCATATCGTGAGGGTTAAATAAGAGAAGAAAGTGAAAGGGCTCAGCACCATGCTGGATATGTGATAGAGGCTCAGGAATAGTTAGTTTCCATTTCCTTTCCTAGAAGAATGTACAAAGGAGTATAAACATAGGTGTGTGATGAAGGTTATTGTTATCATAAACTCCTACATTGATATAAAGTTCATGCCAAGGCCTGAGAGTGATCCTACTTTGTAAGTAAGAAAGAGATCTCCCAAAGTTAAACACTTGAGGACCCTGGAATAAAACTTACTAGATAGTTGCACCTGGCACATGTTTAGTCTTTCTGCACAGACAAAAATTATGGAAATAATATACCTGCGATCTATCATATCTTAAGAATTTGTGTTGAATTCTGCCAACAAAATGGTTTGGTAATCACAAGACACAATGATGGATTTTCCAAACTAACATTAAGAACTATCAATATCAATATCTTAGTAGTGTTTAGATTTAAAAAATTTTTCAATAATCAATTTGAATAAAAATAAAATATTTCTTTTACATACTTCTACAGTAAATGCTATGGCTTTCAAGACTTTTGTAATTATGAATATTGCTATAAAACTCTGTAGTTATTCACTAAGTTTTTGCACTACAAATTGATGAATAAATCTGACAACCATTCAGTTACAATAATTTGATCAACAAAAGAACCAAAGTGCAGTGTTTATGCATATAAGCAATAAATGTGACTGGGTGATAGATATGCTGGGACAGAGAATGTTTTCTCTACTAAATATTTAATTCATCCATAATAAATTTCTTAAATTAAATATTCTGTCTAATTATCTGTAATTACATCATCAGTATTCTAATCATCATAACACTAAGAATTAGTTTGTCAAATTTGTGCTTGTACATTTTCACACTGATTTTGCATGAGGCCCAAAATTTATAAATCCCATAAAGCAAAACTGTTTGTTTAATGAAAAATAGCATGAGAGTTAAAGGTTATTATTTCATTAGTAGAAGTTAACATTTTGCAACGTCTGTCACTGTGGCAGGCAGAATAATGGTTCCCCCAAAGATGTCCAATCCACATCCTAATAGCTGGAACCTGTGAATGTTAACTTTACATGGTAAAATGAACTTTTCAGATGTGATTGAGAATCTTGACATAGAGAAATTACACTGTGATATCTTGGAGGCAGAAAGGGAAGGTCAGAGGGAGATATGATTGTGGAGGAATGATCAGAAAGATGGCAACTTTCCTGGCTGTAAAGATGGAGGAAGGGAAACATGAGACAAGATATGTGGGTGGCCTCTAGAAGCTGGAAAAGGTGAGGAAAGATTCTTCTCTGGAAGCTACAGAGAGAAATGTAGCCCTGCCAAACCCTGATTTTAGCTCAGTGATACCAGTGTAAGACATCTAACCTACAGAACAGTAGGGTAATGCATTTGCATTGTTTTAAGCCACTAAATCTATCATAAATCATTATAGCAGCAGAAAAAAAAACTAATACAGTCATCAATGTAGTATGTTCATTTTAAAATGGTGTTTTATATTATTGTTTAACATTTGATAATTTTAATGAAATGAATAGTAGACTTTGAGTTTATTAGCAGCAGTATTATACACTAATTAAATACTGATATGGAAGTTGTCTGTTATTCTCAGTTTCACTTTCTCAGGTTGCAGTTACCCCCAGTCAACCATGGTCCAAGAATATTAAATGGAGAATTCCAGAAATAAACAATTCATAAGTTTTAGATTGTACACCATTCTGAGTAGTGCAATGAAATCTCACACCATCCCACTCTGTTCTGCCTAGGACTTGAATCATCCCTTTGTCCAATGTATCCATGCTGTATGTGCTACACACCCATTATTCACTTAGTAGCTGTTCTCAGTTATCGTATTGACTGCTGTGGTACTGCAGTGTTTGTGTTCAGATAACTCTTATTTTACTTAATAATGCCACATTCACATAAGTTTTATTATAGTATATTGTTATAATTGTCCTTTTTATTATTAGTTACTGTTGCTAATCTCTTACTGTACCTAATTTATAAATTAAACTTTATCATAGGTATGATGTATAGGAAAAAGAACATAGTATATATAGGATCTGGTACTGTCTGAAATTTCAGGCATCCACAGGGCATCTTGGAATGTATGCCCCATGGATAAGAGGGGACTACTGTAACTGTATATGTACACTACACTTCAAAGACTCTATAATTGTTATGCCTCAAAAACAATATTTTAAGACAGAAAATATACATTTCATTTATATTTAGTATACAGATAAATATCTAGTTATAACATTATGTATACAAGGCAAAATAAAAAGAAACATATAAGCAAAGCAAAAGAATCAAGTTCTTTCTTCATATAATTATATTTGTATTTTGGAGGAATGGTATGGGGATGAAGGGCAAGATACATATAGCAGTTATACCACATCAATTTACTTTCTGAAAACACTAGTTCATCAGTTGTGAAATTAAACCTAAACTGACATGCTTAAAAATATACTGTCTAAATAGTATGGGGTACGTACACACACACACACACACACACACACACACACACACACACACAATGTAAGTAATTTCATATATGAAGTTAAAATTATTTTTTCCTTTCACTGTTGTGTAGTCTCAGTTATTCTATGCCAAAATATATGCATAAATTGTAGAGCATTCAGCATTTGTCTTTGAATTCTAACATTGGAAATTTGTTTAAAATATGGAATTCAATGAACTATGTTTATCTCTCTAATGGACCACTGAATGAATGGTCAGGGACAAAGTACAGCAGTTACTGAGCAAAAATAGAACTGATCAAACAAAATCACCATGTAGTGGCAAACAGGAATCATACACACAGCAATATAAGCTGCCATAAAAAAATGGAAAACTTCTGAGTGATTCATAAAGTTGATGGTTTGGAAAAGCAAGAGAATCCAACTGACATTTATACTTGCTCTTGCCCACTCTACTTAATAAAAAAATGAAAGCTCAATTCTGAGTTTTTAAAAAAATTGGGAGAACATCTATATAAATAGAAAATGCTATGAATAATGACAAAAATACAATGCTACAAAGAGGGATCACCTAAAATATTTAAAATTAGTATATGATAAAATAATATAAACAAATAATTTTTTTTAAGATTTTTATTGGGGAATTGGGGGGATGGGAACAGTGCTGGGGAATTGGGGGAAGGGGAACAGACAAGTTGCTGTCGTTTTGTTC